AAAGGAGGGGCGGGGCGGGGAGGGGAGAGGTGAGAGAGAAAGAGAGGAGGGAAAAATCCGAGGAATGTACACCAAGAGAGCACTTTGAAATCGGTTGGCAGTGGTTTAAGTTTACGCCGAGTAAGGTTCCTCGAAGGCCTCTCTCGCATCTCTTCCAGCCGAATTCTTATGCGGTGGCCGACTTGACAAAATGGAACGCGACCCTGATTGCCTCGACACAGCCACGTCCAAACCAATTTCTCGTCGATTAAACCCGATCGAAAGAAAGAAAAAAAGGTTCAAGTGTTTCTCTCGACCTGTCAACCGGCTTCTTTTTCAACGCATTGCCGATAGAAATAAGGATAGCAGAAACGCGAGCCAACAACCCCTGGCGCCTCTCTATTCGCATTCTTCGTCGCGCACACACCTAACGTAAAATGATCGTCGATGCGACGTGACCGATTGGAAAGGAAAACGTGCGTAAATTGTCACGAATAAAGACACGCACCTTTCTTCGAAAGTATCGCTCCGTGTGTAACCGTGTCCCCTCGGTTTTCTCAGGGTACGCGTTTCGTCGTATCGCTCAACGAGATACCTAGCCATACGATATCACCTCCCACCAAGAAAAACAGAACCGGGCTACTGGTTTTGTGTTACGAAAGTGGAAAGAAGACGTGATTTGCGCGTCCAACGCAACCGACAACGTCTTATCTCGTTCCCAGGCGGTTTTCCCTTCGTCTAGTTGAACACCGAGGTGAGCTGCTAGCTTTTCCAACAAACTCTCGGTTGTTCTCGACTTGGTTACGCGAAATTATCAATCGCGATACCTTTCCATTGAAAGTTGCGTAGTCGTAGTGTAGTAGCGATAGTAGTAGTAGTAGTAGTAGTAGGAGTAGTGGTGGTGGCGGCGGCGACGGCGGTATCTCGAGTACAAATCGCGAATCGACGCGTGTTCGTGAACGTCGAGAGAGACCTCTCGTAGGAATATCTATGAACGCGGCCTAAGGCCCCAGTTTCCCCCACCAGCGTTGCACGGCTGGCCTCGTCGACGCACACTAGCAAGAACCGCGCATGCGTCCCACCGCCGAACATTATGAACACACGACCGTTCTCGTACGCGTACACACACGCGCGCATTCACACACTTATTGTTAGCCGAAGCATCGCGCGGTAGTAACCTCTAAAAGACACGATTCACTCACCGAGAGTTCCACACAGAAGCAGAAACGACAGCAAAAGACGCCGGGGCCTCGCCCAGGTCCGTACGATGTGCCTGCCACATTTCTCCCGCGACATGTTTCTTTCCTTTCGGGGATCTTCCGACCCAACACCGACCACGCTCTTTCCTCCTCTCCTCCCTTTTGGTAATCCCGCGACGATGTATTCACCACAACGCCGATTCTCTTCTCCGTAACCAAACTTTCAACGATCACTAAGAAAGTACATAATCACCGGTGCACATGGTTCTCATGGTCCCTTTGCTTTCTTCTCCTCCTCCTCCTCCTCCTCCTCCTCTTCTTCTTCTTCTTCTTCTTCTTCTTCTTCTTCTTCTTCTTCTTCTTCTTCTTCTTCTTCTTCTTCTTCTTCTTCTTCTTCTTCTTCTTCTTCTTCTGTTGTTTCTCTCTCGCTTGCTCTTTTGCTCCGTACGGTGAACAAAACACCCGTTACACTGTTTGCACTGAGAAAGGACGACCGAGCGCGACGCTAAACCGAAGAGAACGCGACACGCGGCGCGAACACCGTCCCAAAGACCGACGCCGTACAAACGCGCCTACCCGACTGAACAGCGAGGACGCGTGATTCGTTCGCGGCACCCGGTGCTTGCTTGTCCGCTAGATCTACTCGTTGCCTGCCTTCCCTGCTTGCTTGCCTGCCCGCTTGCCTGCCTGCCTGCCTGCCTACTTGCTTGCTTGCTTGCTGCCTGCCCCGAATACGACGTCACTACCCGCTGCACGACCCTCGCCCCCTCGCCAATCCCTCCCTCTAGCCAGCTAACCCCCCACCCCCCCTCCTCATTCACTCCACTCCTCTCTTCCAACCCCGCACTGCCTATCCCGTCACCAACGTACAAACAGACCTTTCCCCACCACTTGCTAACTACTTGTTGATCTTCCCTCAGGATCGTACGCTCCGTTCCTCGTGCCACGCGCTTTCCGCTCTTTGAATTTTTATCGTAGATTGCATCTACACGGATAAAACGTGGTTACTCATCGCACGCTTACCTCGAACAAAGTACCCAAAGTATAGCTGTATCTCGAGTTGAATTAGTATCACCTCTTTTATCCCCTTCGCCTCCCATCTTCCGTCCCAATTCTCTCTCCCGTTTCTACATCTTTAGTTGTTCTGACAATCGAACGACAATCGAATTCACGGGACTCGATTCCGAGGATAGGTGAAAAAGCTGAACAGTCGTACTTGTACTTGAGCGAGTGGGTGTCTACCTGTTGCCGCGAACACGGCGATAACCGGTGACGATGTTCGTCGATCGCGGTTCTCTCGCGCGATCCGAGAGAAGCGGAGAATGGCCGTCACCCTGAACAAGCGAACTGTGATGAAACACCCTGATCGAGGGGAACACGTCACCCTGGGGATTTGCAGAGCGCGGGGACACCGCGACGCGTGAATCATTATCGTTCGATGCTGATAATTCCCCGCGAGTTATTAACTTGGGAACGTAAAGCTTATCCGGAAGTTAGAGAAAGGTACCGCGACGTGCTTGCACAGACGAGAAAATCAATAATATTCTTGTCCCGATCGAAGCAATAAACTCTACCAACTAGCGTTGCACTCGAGAAAAGATGACCGTCCACCGACCGATAATGGGCCACACCTTTTCGCAACGCGAGCGATAGACCTGAGAACGAATTACATACACCGAATGTCTCGTAACTTGGCGACCGTATCGACCGACTAAATCTTTGATCCTCCGCGCGGAGGAAGTTGGAAAGAGCAGAGAAGGAAAGGACTCCATAGGAGGTGCAACGAAACTATTTCTTTGCGTACGATTTTGTTGGCGAAAAAGAAGGAGGAAACTAGACGCGGAGTAGCGTCCGTTTGATATCGCCTCGAAAGTACGGTATACATAATCGGTGAGGATGGTCGCGCTTCGGTTTATCAGGGATTTCGATCGTTTTCCGGTTAATCGTTGAACGCTGGATATGCCAGAGTCTATTGATCCGAAAGCCCATTATCGCAGCTAGCCGAACCTCTCGCTTGAACCTTTCTCTCAAACTATTTTCCGCGTGCTACCCTTCGCCTCTGTCACACGGTAGTTTTTTCGGGCTGGCCAGAGGCAATATACATATGTATGTAGTACAAACAACTACATATTACCTTCTGAAAGAATCAAAGGATCGAGCTAATCGGACCCGTCGGATTTCCGAATCTGTAATTTCCACGATTGGTAATTGGCCGGTTTCCGGTGCTTTTTACTTCCTATCCCCGGATTCGTTAGGTTCGATGTCTTTGACATTTAATTAGCGGGGAAAATAATAGACGGTAGATTGGCGTGGTGAAGGGTCGGAAAAGGCGACCATTAACTAACGGTCTCGTTGCAATTACGTGCGTGAACTTTCTTAATAACTGTTTTTCGTTGTGTGTAGAAAAAGCAAATCGAGGGATACGGTATTGAATAAAGGAGCGCACAGAGTCAAGCTTGACGGATCAAAACCAGTTCCCTTTCGCGAACGAGATACATATACCGACATAGAATCGACGCAACGCGTCGCGAACTACATGTATGTCGTAAAATTTCCCTGATCGAGTGTACGGGGTCGCGTGTTACTCGTCGCGACCGACCCCTATTTATTTAATCGCTTATATTTCATCAACGGCGATATTGTTTACCGAATTTCTATTACGTCCATGTAGTTAATTAAATCGCGCGTTTCATTAACGACAGTATTAGCGGACGAGGATTGGAATTATCGGGAAGGGAAGGTAATCCGCGAACCGAATTATGGAAATACCGGCGACAATTGCTAGTAGCTATCGTAAAAATTCCGAGCCGTGAATAGAAATTCGAAAGGTAGGCGAAAAAACAAGTGTCCGCGAGCAAAACAAATGGAAAAATTTTCGATAAGGTTACTCGGGGGAGAAAGATTCCGCGTGATCGATGGAAATTCTTTTCTCTCGCAAGACTAAAAATGTAAGTTTACGGTGAACGAACCCAGAAAAGAAATATTACATTTCCGTCTAAGAAGAACGATCGAGCAAAGTTGACTCGCTGTGCATTTACCTAGATACGGTGTCAGTGATGTTTTGCATCGATCGTTTTCGTCTACACATACGCATTGTCTTTCCTCTTTCTGCGTCAACTTCTATCGAAACTTTTCACGCGACTGCTGTTCACTCGACTTTGCAACCAGAGGTTGTTGGAACACGTTCCTCCCTTGTATTCCAATTCTCCTCGGAGATGATTCATTCTGCACGAACGTTGCAGAGTAGATATTTCGATATTAGCATCATTAGCATCTTAGGACGGAAGCCTAAGAATTCCTTCGATCGACGTTTTGTGTACCTTGCGTAATTAGTAATTACATACTAACGAAGAGAAACAAAGGCAAGAGAATGGTAAGTATCGAGACCAAGGAGGACATCTGTCGGGTGTCGGTGGAAGAATGGAAAGATGGCGCGACTAGTAGGATCTGGCGAAAACAAAACTATAACCTACAAGTGACGGAAAGGTCGCGTGATCTGATTATCGAGGGAAAACTAAGAATGTTTATCGTTACGAAAGAAATCGACAGCGAGAACATTAGTAAATTATGCCGCACGTGTCTAAGAGAGGACGGGGATAAAATGGTTTGCTTGTTCGTGGGACCGGCTGGCTCCTCTCTCGCTGCTAAATTACGATCTCTGTCCTGTCTCGAAGTAATAAACCTTTCGTCCAACTCGGAATTATTTAATCGACGCGGATTACAAAGTTGACATTGTTACGTAAGAAATGCGTGTTTCATCAGGTTTGGCAAGGCGATGGTCTTCCAGAGAAAATGTGCGACCGTTGCGTTACCAGAGCGGAATCTGCTCTGTTGTACAGAGAACAGTGTCGTGCTGCTGACAGAGCGTTGAGACAAGCCGTTTTAAAGGTATATATGTACGTGTAGAGTTTTTGCGACAGGGTGAAACGTAATACTGAAGAATGACGAATATTTGTAGGTTTCCGGTCTGACGTCGTACACCACGGTAGCCGGTTGTAAATTGTACCAGCAAAATCAAGGTTTCGTACCTGTCCAGAATTCCCATAAAACCTTGAAGTGTATAGAATGCGGAGCTGTATTCGCCAACTATCAGGAGCTCTGTGCTCACAGCAGATTACATTTACCTTTCGTTCAAGACGACATACCCGTCCAGCATATGCACATAGTAGAATCTCAGAATCCCTACTTTAATCTTAATTTCAGCCACCTCCCCTCCAATCTGACCAACGAAAGCATTCAACAGACGCAACTGCCGCCTTTCGTTAGGTCTAACGTAATGCAAACGATTCCGACGAACGGGGAAAATCCTAGTCGCGCGGCGTGCGCTCTACACTGTTCTCTCTGCAACCTAACCTTTACCAATAGAACGCAGCTGATAAGTCACAGTATTACGCACAGCGCGGAGAACGTAGATATTTGCGAGGATTCCAATCAAATCCCGCAAAATTTTAGATACGAGCGATCCATTAACTCCGTCGGAAATTCCATTCGAAATTTATCTTATCAGAGGTCTACCACGAACGATAATAACGAAATGCAAAGCTTAGGTTTTCCCGAGAACATGGATTTAGGCGAGGAGGGTAGCCCTGAACGCGTACAGAGTACGGCGATACACGGCTCCGAAACTTACAATCTACCTATGGAAGAACGTATGGAGAATAGAGAGAGCATCGACGGATACAGATCCTGTACTTCGAATCTGAATTACAGCAAAGACGAACCGATCGACGGCGAACATTCGGAACAGTCGAGGAAGTACAAATGCGAACTCTGCCCGAAATTCTTCTCTCAGAAGTCGAAATTGCTGACGCATCGGTTGCGGCATTCCGGGCAACAACCTTTCAAATGCTCCAGCTGCGAAAAAGCCTACTCGTCGAAGAGCAAACTGAACGCGCACATGCGATTACACACCAAGACGAACGTGCACTCGTGTAAAATCTGCGAGAAAATATTCGCCTATCCTTCCTATCTGCGGGAGCACTTGAAAACGCACAAACAACGCACGAACAACGAGAGCGGCAACGAGGCGAGAACCGAGGAGGGTAAAGGTTTCGAGTGTACCACGTGCAAGAAAAGGTTCCGCCTGTTGAAGAACCTTCGAGCTCACGAAAGACTTCACACCGGAAAAGGTTTGGTACGGTGCGAGATATGCGACAAAACTTTCAATCAGACTTACAACTTGAAGATTCATTTGCTAACTCACAAAGCGACCAGGCCGCACAAGTGCGAATATTGTAACAAGTGTTTCGTCCAGAAGGGTAACCTCGCGGAACATTTGAGAATTCACACGAAGATAAAGCCGTTCGAATGTAAAACATGCGGCAGACGATTCTCGCAATCGAGCCACTTGAAGAATCACGAGGCGTCCCACGCGACGATCAGGCGACATCAGTGTCGATTGTGCGGGAAACGATTCAAATTGGCGAATCATTTGAAGAGACATTTAATTTTGCACAACGGTGCAAAATCGTACAAATGCCATCAATGCGATCAATTGTTCTCGCAGACGTTCAGCCTGACAAGGCATTTGAAGAGGCACGAGTCGCACTCGTAATTACCAAATATGTACATACTTTCTTTATTTCGAGCGAGCAGAAGAGAGAAAAGAATAATAAAACAGAATAATAAAGCACAGAGGTAGATCAGGTTGATTTGTAATTGTCGAGGACCGTGGTGAGTATGTCGAGACCTTGTTCGAGTTGTTCTCTAGTGATGGTGAGCGGTGGCGATATTCTCAATATCTGTCCGTGAGCGGGTCTCGTAAGGAGGCCTGCATCTTTCAGTTTCAAACAAATATCCCACCCTTCGGCAAAGTCTGAAAAACATCCAAGTTAGCCTGGATGTAACACGTAGGACGCGTTAACGATAAACGCACCTTTATTGATCACCAAGCCTGCCAAGAGACCACGACCTCGATACTCCGTAGCTATATCTTTCGGAATTTTCTCCAATCTCTTCCGTACAATTTCTCCAAGTTTCCTCGCGTTCTCCGCCAGATTTTCTTCCTCGACAATTTTCACCGCCTCCAAGGCGATTCTGTTCCCGAGAGGACTTCCACCGAAGGTGCTACCGTGCGAGCCACTTTCCAGGCACGACATTATCTAAGAATACGCTCTGGAATATGTAAGTTGTCCGACTGACGCGAATACGGTACGCTTACCTGTTCGTCGGCTAGGATACCGGAAACGGGGTACATTCCACCGGACAATGCCTTTCCTAAAATCATAATGTCCGGCCTTTGATTTTCATGATCGACCGCCAATCTCTTGCCCGTTCTGCCTAAACCAGTCTGGACTTCGTCCGCGATCCATAACACGTCGTACTTGGTGCAGAGATCGCGTACACCTTTCAAGTAACCGTCCTATGCGGAAAGTAGCGGAAAGAGTTTAGGAGCGTCCTTGGGAAGGATAGAGAAAAGAAAAGAAAACTCACTCTAGGCACTACGACACCTGCTTCTCCCTGAATCGGCTCTACCATGAACGCGCAAACAGTTGGGTCTTGCTTGAATTTCAGTTCCAAAGCGACGAGATCGTTGTACGGCAGCTTGTCGAACCGAGGCACGTACGGTCCGAAGTCTGTGTAACAATTTGGATCGGTGGAAGCTGACAGTGCTGCTATGGAACGTCCCCAAAAGTTGCTTCGCGCAAAGACAACGGTCGCCTGTTCCGTCGGAATCTTTTTCGCCCTGTATCCCCAACGTCTGGCTACTTTGATCGCTGTATCGCCAGCCTCGACCCCTATACACACGCGGACTTACAGTTTCTCAGTCGGCAAACAGTTTTGGTAAATTTGTTTGTTCGTACCGGTGTTCATGGGGAGAAATTTCTCCCATCCTAAAAGCTTGGTGAGATACTCGGCGAGTTGACCGTGAGGCTCGGTATAAAACGCCCTGGACGTATGAGCGAGGTTTCCCGCTTGTTCCCTCGTTACTTTTACCAATCGTGGATGACTGTGGCCCTGGTTCACGGTTGAGAAGCCCGCGAGGAAATCGAGATACCGCTTCCCTTCCACGTCCCACAGATGAACACCCTCGCCCTTGGTTAGCACCACCGGAAGCGGCTTGAAGTGCCTACCGCCGTACTTCTGGTCCCGATCGATCAACTCTTGCGAACCGAGCGATCTCTTCAAACGCAATTCTCTCTGCGTTAAACCGAAGATTCCTGATCTCGCGATTGGATGCATGGTTAAAATCGTGAAAAAACTCGATCGAATTTCTCAGTCGGTCTTACATTTATACATGTCGAGAGGAGGAGGCAGAGTAGGTGGTGGCTATTTACACGGGATGTTTTTGTATACGTTGCAATGGGAATTGGAATGAACCGTGTGTATGTGGTGCAACATTAACAGCTCGTATCTGATAATGAGTTGTTGCTCGGCATCGTTTAATCACGGCGCCAACCTGCCAAGCCAAACGAAATACGGCAAACAAAGTATCGTAAAGAAGATACACACGTCAGACATGTTTGTTCTTTTTTTCTATCGAAGATGAGCGCTTTCCGCGAAGAAAACGGTAAGAGGATTATTTTAGGATTATTTTAAATTTTATCGGTTTTTATATCCTTCTCCTCTACGGTGTTGCAATCAACGTCCGATAGTAATTCGTTCGTTCGTTCTTACTATTATCGTGAACTCGAGCGGACAGAGTATCCGACGTCTGTCAAACATGAGAATATAACCGCGCGGTATCTCGTTCAGCTATTAATAACTAATGCAACTAATCGACAAATTTTTCTCCCTCTTTAAACCAGGCGGTAGATAGATAATGCGGATGACACCAGTTTTCTCTATTTTCTCTCGATAACGTAACGACTGGTCGGAAGAGGAAGAAAGGCAGGAATTGCGAGAAAAGTGTGAATTTATTCACGAGTTTGTACAAAAACGATGGATTAATTGGCATAGTTGGAAACGGCTCGAGAGATGATATCCGCGCATTCTTGCATTTGCGTCTCGTCGATGACCAACGGTGGAGCCAGTCTGATGATATGACCATGAGTCGGTTTCGCGAGCAGACCTTCGTCCTTCATTTTCAAACAGATATCCATAGCGTCGATGTTTTCTTTGATAACGATCGCGTTCAGCAGACCTTTCCCCCGAACCAGAGTGACCACGCTCTTCGGAAGCATCTCGAGCTCGCTCCTGAGAATACGGCCGAGTTTCTCCGCGTTCTCCGCAAGTTTCTCCTCCTCGAGGACGCGAAGCGCTTCGAGAGCAACTCTGCAGCCCAGAGGGTTGCCGCCGTAAGTGGAACCGTGTTCGCCGGGTTTAATAGTGAGCATGACGGGATCGTTGGCCAGGACACCGGAAACTGGGTAGAAACCACCGGAGAGCGCTTTTCCAAGGATCAGTATGTCCGGCTTCACGTTCTCGTGATCCACGGCCAATCGCTTTCCCGTTCTGGCTAGCCCGGTTTGCACTTCGTCCGCGATCCACAGAACATTATGCTTCGTGCACAGCTCTCTCACTTCTTTCAGGTATCCCTCCTAATCGAAAACATAAAGGAAAAACATAAAGAGTTTCGTCGCTTCGACCAAATATACTATCGATGGACGGTAGTACATTACTACCTTTGGTAGGACGACACCGGCTTCACCTTGGATCGGCTCGACCATGAAAGCGCAAACGGTAGGATCAGCGAGAGCCCGTTGAAGCGCGGGGAGATCGTCGTAGGGAACGAGCTCGAAGCCAGGCATAAATGGACCGAAACCGCCGTAACTGCTCGAATCCGTGCTAGAAGACACCGCGCTCATTGTTCTACCCCAAAAGTTCCCCTCTGCGAATATGATTTTTGCCTGGTACCGCGGTATACCTTTCACATCGTATCCCCATCTGCGTGCCAGTTTGCAAGCAGTTTCGCCACCTTCCACTCCCGTGTTCATCGGTAGCCATTTCTCATATCTACACGTGTAATAACACATTCGAGATGAGCGTGCGAAAGGAGGTGGAGGAGGAGGAGGAAGAGGAGGAAACATGCTTACCCGAAAAGTTTCGTAACGTACTCTTCGAATTCTCCTAAAGCGTCGGAATAAAATGCTCGCGAAGTTAACGTTAAATGTTTGGCTTGTTCGATTAAAGCCTTGTAAATTCTTGGGTGACAATGGCCCTGGTTGACGGCAGAGTAGGCACTCAGAAAATCGTAGTACCGCTTTCCTTCGACGTCCCACATGAAAACTCCTTCCGCTTTGCATAACGCGACCGGAAGGGGATGATAATTGTGAGCACCGTACTTCGATTCTCGTTCGAATATATGTTGCGACGTTATGCTTCGACGGTTCTTTCCACCCTGCGGGTACATTTATTAGAATTTCCGTTTCCTCGCTATTCGCGTCTATCGCTGCCGTTGCCTTCTTACCTGAGAGAGCAACGTTAAATTCAACAACCTCCTCTTAGCTATACCCCCGATTTTCTCCAACATTCTGCACCTGTACACACCTGACGGTTGACGGTTGATTAATCAGCCACGCTAATCTCTAGAATGAAAATATAAAATACCGTTTCCACGAAATGGATAATATACCGTCACTCGAGAAAATGCTTTCGATTTGGAAGATAGTACATAGTATGTGTAAGAAGGAAAGAATTGAGAGAAATAATAACAAGATTATCAAAGAGGTATATATATATATCGATGTTTACCAGAAAAATGATCGCTATCGCGCCGTTATCGGTGTAGCAAAACAGCCTATCGCAACGCCTCGCGCCTTTCTTTCAATTATTATTGCGTAGCTCTTTACCTGTGCAGCGATAATGGTTCGACGACCGACCGACTCCGACGAATTTCTAACTTCAACTTCAATTCCTCCGCGTTACGTTTTTCCGAACAGTCAGCCAAATTCGGAGGGACACGATGTACTGAATGTGCCTTGTCGTGTCAAGTGTTGTCGCCCGGCTTCTTCTACCCGTTTCTCCTCGATACGTACGGTCACGTCACACGCGCTCTCTTTTCATATCGGAGATAAGAAGAACGATACAATTGTACAGACTATCGGTAGTAAAAGCAGCTCGCCTATTTCAGTCCAAAATCCGCACTGATTATATTTCTAATCGAAAGGTAAATACGATAAGCCAATATTTCGTTCCTTCCCGATCTCGAGAAATTCATTATCGATCGTTCTTACCCCCTATCATTATTAAAGATATCGCGATGATTTTGGAGAAATTTCTATCTACGAGTATACTCTTCTTATCGGTACTTGGAGATATTCAACAAGGATAAATTCTCTTTTCTTTTCTTTCACTCTACTTTGCCTTGATATCGTCGGTAACGATAGCTTAAACCTAATACGTAAACGTTAGCCAAATATTAGAATAATGTCGTAGGTTACAAATATTATTTTACGTTGAAATTTTTCCTACTCTATCGAAAAAAGATTAAAAAATACAAACAAAAGCTTTATACGTGCTCGTACGTGTGATAATAATGTAGAGATTAAAAGATTCAGAAATGTCGTCATAAGGCAAATGTACCATTCAACTGTGTATGTAGTTATTTAACACTTGTACAGACATTTGCATCGGCCTCGTGTCGGTTTACCCGCCAAATTTACCGTACGACGTACGACACGCCATGCTCGTAGTTCGCGCATAATCACCGGTGTACCATTTTTAAACAAACGTTGTTGCTCCTCTTCCCCCTAATTTCTGCGCTCGAGAATTTCCTCGACGATCGGATTTTAACATGGACGAAAACAATTACGACGATGTACGAAAGAAAAATATAGCTGAAAGGAATGCCATTGTAAGTATACGCTCGTTTCTCCTTCGATATTTCTAACCTATA